ATAAAACATTTATTAATGACCTAAAATGACACTTAATTCACCAATATTATAGATAAAATCTTTGTTTGTGACTAAGTAGTTTACAGCATATCCACAATTATAAAGTCACTCAATTGCATTTTGGTGCCTCAACATCCATTCCTTTATAAACGTACCGCTATTCATTTATAATGTTTCCTTTCTACCCTTTCAGTTATATTAAGTAGACGGAACTTTAACAGACTTGCATTTTTCTGAGTTATTTGATAGTTAAAAATACATAGCAATAATTTGACTGTTGTAATGTGGGGATGAATAAAATCGGTGGCTAATGTAGGATAAACTTTTAATTTGAAAAATAATATTGTCTTTTATTAGACATATAAGAGTGCACAGGCTGAATTTATTTATGTCATAAACTAAGTCTGAGTACTGGAAATCATGAAATTATTTTCTCTTCGGATCTCTTCTTTCGAGCATGTTATTTGTATGTTTGACGCTATCAAAAACTTAAAGGTAGAGTAAAAATAAGTTGCTTTACAACAAAAAAATCAGTTTTTAATTGAGTTGTAGGAAATTACAACAAAATTTTGTACATGAAGAAAACAGAATGTTTGTTTGTTTTGAAGGTATGCACAAAGCTACACAATGGACTATCTGTGCTCTGCCCACCACGGGTATCTAAACCCGGTTTCTAGCGTTGTAAGTCTCCAAACATACCGCTGTGCCACTGGGGGCCAAACAGAATAATCTGTAAGTTTTACAGTGAGGTGGGTACGTTATATTAATACGATTTTGAGTACGCAAATCAACAAAATACGTAACAACCACAGCTGATAAAACGTCGCGGTGGAACAATATAACTAGAATAACATTTTGATATTGTTTGGCATTCAAAATAGTGTGATGTCATCGAAAATGTATTGCTTTTGGGAAGGGTATGTACAGCCGTTTCATAAGTTCAGATCATAAAGATGTGTTCAGATCAGAGTTTTAGAATTTCTAAGATGGAGAAATCCCTTGTACCTAATGATATTGGAAAAAAGGAATATGGATCAACTTGGACTATATGAGCCGTCCAGAAAGAGATATGCAAAAAATTCACGAACACGAAGGTCACTGGGAGAATATGTCCCTGTTTCACAGACAACATAATCCCGAAAGATGTCTGGAAAAGTGAAAAAAGTCACATATACACATGTTGCTTCAACGATATATCCTTTCAGTCTTCGCATACCTCAGGCGTCTGGAGAATTATCCGAACGAGTATTCATGCTATTCCATGCGAAGACATACCGATAAGATTGCCAGATGACACCTATGGATTTCTGTGCATTCCGGACTGTTGAAAACGGGCGCTAGGAAACCTTCGTTCTGTACGCTAAATCACTTATGGACAGCCTTCAGAGGGAAGTGGTGTGCTGTTGATTTTGATATAAGAACCTTACGACGAAGCCTTTTGCAATAAAACTACCCTGCAGGGCCATTGTCAAGGTGCACGACTGTCAGATAGAGTACTATGGTACGTGGCGACATGGACTGTATCGAAGTCATGACGCTCTACAATCGTATTGATATAATGAACGTAGCCTCTGTAGTAACTGAGCAACAAAATCAAATCTACTTGTTTCTCAACGCCTAAAACAGTGCTACAAGTACAAAGGAAACAAACCAACATTTTCCAATAAATGTGATCATATGTTTTACCTGGAGAAATTTCATAAGCGTTTATGAAAGTTTCTCTGTCCTTATCAAACTGAAAACTGTACTATTACTACTATAAAGTATGATGATTGTTAACAGATGTGTATGAAACCAGGCAACATGGTAATATTTTAAAGTAACAACGAATTTTACACTAGCAGAAAATAAAATCAAACGCTACAATTATTTTAGTAACGATATATTTAAATATTTCATTACTTTACCCTACTAATTCTCTAGCATATTTGAAAACATTGATTATTGATAATATGTTTCGCTAGCGATAATTAATTTGGAATGTTACGAGTTTATAATCAGAACTTGAGGTTAGACATCCATACACAGTATTTCAGGTTGTTGTGACACGTCTACCGTAGTCTTCAAAATACTGCCCCACAGCGGTATGTCTGCAGGACTTACACCGCTAGAAACCGGGTTTCGATGCCCGTGGTGAGTAGAGCACAGATAGCCCTTTGTGTAGCTTAACTGCAAACAAACAAACTTAAAAATACAAGTCTATTCATTTGAAACCAACAGGGGTCCCGAGTTTGAGTCTCGGTTCCGGAGTCTCGTTTCACTTATGAGTTTTTCACTTAAAAACTTAAAAAATAAAAACATATCTATTATTAGTTGGTACGATATAATGATATTAGAAGAGTTTCCTTACGAAACAAAAAGAGAACAGTTTGCAATAACTAATTATCTAAACGTCATGTCAGACGATGAATAGCAAAGACTTGTACCTATGTTACTTCAGTTTAAGAACTTTGTCATTTTTGAGCAAGATGGTATTACAATTATCATCAGATCACAATCAGTTCCTAGCATTTTAGAAGTATGTTATTCTCTTAATCTTGCTGCTGAAAAAGGTATGTTTGTAGCATATAAGAGCGTCGCGTTCTTTTACGTATGTTTTAAGTAAAATGGTTATCACATGATCATTTACAGATAAAAATGTTCAGAATGAGAAGTTTGTGAACATTTAGTCCAAACGGCATTTATATTAACTTCATTTTAAGATGCTATAATGTATCTGTATTTGACTGTGTAAGAAAATAAAGTTTACTTTATTATTAATATAAATAGTATTTACTTTTACTCGGAATGAATTAAGCACTCCTTATAAGTAGAGTAGATTTTGGACGCATTTAGACCTTTGCAGTTCAGAGTTGGAACTTATAGGACAAAGGTTGCTGCGGAGATTTAACCAAACTCGGATCTTCCTTTTTTACAAGGAATAAATGGATTTAACACTCCAGTGTATCGATCACACATTTTTTCTGACATTGTGAAAAATCATCCTCAGAAAGAAAAATGGACAGATAAACGAATTTCATAAAACTCGGGCAGGGGGTAAAGGCCCATGTGAAAACAGCACAGACTGTTTAGTGTTAACATACACGAAATAAGTAATGCTTAGACTGGTGGGTGTTTAGATGTAAAATATGAACAAAACACTAGGTAGCTTTGAAAAAAAAAACATATTAATATGCATTGAGTTCATATGATCTGTGTTTCAGTTCTATATTATATACGATATGATTAAGGATTGTGTATGCTAAGTCGCCTAACATTTTTGGAAGTGTAGAATAGACGCAAAATTCTAATACAAAGTAATACATACCACTAGACGTTACTTTTCCGCATTATTATTATAGACTTTGAAAAATATATATATATTTAGTCAGCGCTAGAATGAAACATATTGAGAGCAGAACTCTGAAAATACAAGTCAATCAAAATAATTGAAATGGAATATTTCATATAAATTTGATACGGTTTTACATCTGTAATGTTACTTATTGAATTTATCACAAAGCTGCTCGAGGACTATCCGCGCTCACTGTTTCTAATTTAGGAGTGATTGACTAGACTCGCTAGAGAAAGAAAGCTAGTCAAAATCATCAACGCCAACTCTTGCGATACTCTTTTACCAACGGAAAGTGGGACTGACTGTAACATTATAATGACTCCACAACTGAAAGGGCGAGCATGTTCTGTGAGAACCTATAGATTGCAAGTCCAGTGCCCTAACCACTAGGCATAAAAACTGTTATATTTACCTTTTAGTGCATGATATATTGTAGAAATGAGTCTACGATTGTGAATCTGAACTATTTGTGCTTGGTTAATATATTTAGGGACTTATCCATTTACACATAAGTCCACCATGCAGTGTTTATTAACTTAAATTCAACAAACTAGGACATCGTAGATCACTTGTTTGTCCGGATTAGGCTTAGATTTCTGGCTGAGTAAGCTTACTGTGTACAAAAATAACCAGATATTAAAATGACAACCTAATGTTTGGTTAATAGTTGATGAAGTTCTGTTTCACTTTATTTATTTTTAAAGCTGGGATACAGAAATATTGGTCTAAAGTTAATTAAAAACAGACTTGAAACACTGTTTCAAAACAAACAAGTAAACTAACCAACTCTTTCTTAATTTCATCTAAAGGCCAGAATTAAAATACTAACAACGAAACCACTTTCACCTGGGCTTTCGTTACATGATGTATAACCCAAAAGATGGCTAAACTCATATCATCTTTGTTTAGAAACTATTAGGCCACATTAGAATCAAGTGTTAAAGAATAAAATCATCTTATTCCGATGTATTATCATACTTTGTAGTCTAAGATTTGGATGTATTATGTAAGACGAAAGTTATTTTTGGCACTTATTTGATTTGTAAATGGTTTTAAAGCATTCAGAAAACCTTAAGAACAAAATTATATAATTTGCATAAAAGCATCCTATAGTAGTATTCATGTTCTAAAATTAGGGTCTTAGAAAGGAAGACTAGTTCACACTGACAGTAAAGAATGACCAATATGTATATGTTATTTTATGCTAATACATATTATTTCTATACTTAAACTTGATTTGACATCTATAGACGTGGAAGTGTAAATAATACATGATTAGAAGATATTAATAAGCACGTGCATTATTGTTTTGCAGACGTAATATTTCAATAAGAATTGCCTAGCCATCCTACTAAGTATACAGGTGGATTTCAGAATTTCGATCCTTAAGCTGTTAATATGTTACTTAAAATTATATTTTTCATTAAAAATCTTATTCTTTTATTGCGGTCTTTTACATTTTTACAATCAAATCCTATTTGCTTAAGGTAAATGTACCCCATGCAGTGTTTGTATTTTACATTATGTTGTGTCCCAAATTAATTTTCAGCGCATAGGCAACGGACAATTATAGACCAAACACAAAGATAAAAAATAACAAGGATGTTTGGGGGAGGGAGGGGATATTTTCTTGTGTGAATACATTTGAATGTTACTTATTACCAACCTGTTGAAAGATAGCCTTGTTTTTCCGGTAAAGTTCTGGCCCATTCGAAGGGACCACGTCTTGACGATGGTTGACTACTGGATTCTACGCCCATCCATGATCGGAAGTTAGGCGGTGTAGGAGAGATTTCATTGCAGCCATCGCCTGAGCCCCCAGTAAAAGGTGAGACAGTGGTGTGAGAAGCACCGTTTGAAGCGTAGGATAAAGTATGTTGTCGGAAGTTATATGTGGTCGGTAAGTCTGAGAAACGATGACACTTTGATATCTTAGACTGTTCGTTTTCAAACGATACACACTGGTTCATTTGGCCTGGGATTTTTACAGAAGTATCTATTTCTTCTAGAACTGTCAATGGTTTACAGTCCATATTACCAGACACTGACCACAAACAGTTCGGCTGGAATGGACTTGTTTGTACAGACACGGCACACTCTGAAGGCTGAGATGCTGGTTCTGATAAAGGATTGAAGACGCCATTGAAATTTGCAGAGTCATTCGTTGTACGATTGCCATAGCAAGTGTCTGAGTAGACGTAAGACTGACCAGAGACAACAGAGCAATACTGGGAATTAAAAGACAACATAGTATCATAGGCGTTGTCAGGAAAAATCATGACGTCAGAATTGGATCAAAATCCAATTAGATATATACTTAGATGTAATACACTGTACTGTTGATTTTAATTGGCGTTACGTGCAGTATATAAATAACACCATAAAAACACGAATGCGTTATTACTATAGCCTGTTCGTGATCTTACTCCCACACCAGCATTTCTCCGTTTTGGTGCATAACACCCCGACCTCATAGCAATATGTCTCCTATTACATGTTAAGAATTTGTTCTTACTGACATACATTCATTCGCAAACTTGTGGTCTGTCAATCACAAACAATAACTCCGCCCATATTTCTATTGGCTTAAACCGAAGTACTGTCGGTTGAATTTGACCTATTGGATTACAAGGGCGGTCTTTCTTTTTTCTTTATTTGCAGCTTCGCTAAATATCCATAACGGTGAAGCATTGCATACCTATTGATGGAATTTTTTTGACCTATACGAAAGTAGCGGATGCATGTCGTCATGCTAAAATAGTGCTCAATATATATACATACATGTATATGAATAATGTTGTTTTATGAGTCAACATCATGTATTGAAACTCTAAATTAACAGTGGAATTTGATGCCTAAAAATGAGAAAATGCTTCTATTTCACCAGTCAGAGTTATTCGATGTATAATTCATAATACGGTGTAATATGGACATTATTAGTTTACTACTATTATAGGTCTTCACGAATTTTGGAGGTATTCGGGCCTCTGGATGCTTGAGATATTGTTTTATTTATTGCTAGGTAATAGAACGGTAAGCCTAAACGTGATTATATACGTAATTGTATACATACAATTTTAATTTTATCAGTTCTAACTGAAGTTTACATAATCAGTTAATATTATTATTATCTTTTAAAAAGTAGGATTGCCTGAAATAAGAAAAGAAGCTGAAGCTTACTTAAAAAAATTATAAATTTAGTTTGAACGGTTTAAGCTTTTTTCTTGTTAAAAATGATATGTCAGAGTCAGATTTTAAGTTTTAATCTTATTATCCTTCAGTGCCTCAGTTTTAATATGAGTCATATAACGCTAAAATCGGGGTTCGATGCGTAAAGAGAGGCATAACGCAGATAGCCCATTGTGTAGCTTTTAGCTTAAAAACAAACAAAAATAAACTAATCTAAATGATCTAATTCAACAAAATAACCCCAGACTTAGAATATAAATGCAGTTACTTAGGATAAAAATTTAATCACAACAATAAAAAATCAGATACTGACATTTCTATATAACAAAACGATTAAAATAAGTAATTATGATAATATGCTAGTTTTTCTTGCTACAGTAATATAATATTTCATACAAATGTTATTAATCTCGATAAGAGGCTATCTATTTGACCAGAGTTGGGTCATTCTGTAAACGTTTCAGTCATATTTATCACTGCTTTATCATAGTACGAAAATTTCTGAGTTTCACCTATGAGAACGTTAACCGTTTCTTTTCTAGGGTACATATGCATGCTATTAGAAGAAGGTTGAAAATATTTTATAAACATTATTATAATAGTAATAATAGTTTAAAATAGAACGATAAATTTTAATATTTTACCTACAGAAACGATTATGGTCTTGCTCTAATTAGGTCTACTGTGATATATATATGAATAGAAAACGACATAGCTCTGAGTTTCTATAGGCTAGCATTATATTTGACAAATTTTGAAACATAGCAGTGATGATCCTAATGTATTTGCTACGATATTGTGTTGACACTAGTGTTTGTTTAAGAAGGAATGGGATTTTTTATACATTGTGTAAAAGATGTAGCACATTACCATCAAATATTATAACTAATGGCTTGCCCTTCGAAGAAAAAAATGTAGAAGTATTTTAAAAGCATGAACATTTTTACGAAATGATTGTAAAAACATATAAAGGAAATTTTCAACTAAAGAACAGGATGTCTTAACCATTATATATAATGTACAGTAAAACGTATTCGTAAAATATGGTTTTCTTTGTTCATATGCTATAAAATGTAAATATAAAGTAACTGACAAATTTCATTAACAGCGTAAATCTGAGTCTAAATTTTTTACTGAGTCAAAACTATTCGATGAAAATATATAGTGCTAATTGGTCTTTTCGTAAAATGTGCAAAGTTTTCACGAGTAAAAGTATAGTAACGTGAGAAGGAATATTTTTCGTTAATTGCTTCAAATAACTTGATATCTGGCGCAAAGAAACATTGCGAGTACATTAAGCAGCTAAACCAATTTACTAAACAAATAGCATATCAAATGATAGGAGTAATATTTAAAGAGCAACAGCGAAACAAATAAGAATAATAGTTTTGTGTAGTTGCTGTATTAAATGTCTTATTTCATGACTCGAACTAAAGTAGTTGACGACAGGAATGCTTATCTTTGCTTTTATTACAATTTACTTAATGACAGGAAAGTACTCTGTAATAGAACACAGCTTAAAAGGTTCTGTTGACTGTTGAAAGCATACAATTCTACCTATAGCTCTTGTGACTAGAGTAATTAAAGTCATTTGATTCTTCAACTTATCATAAAGGTAATGAAGATTCCTTTCTCAACATACACGTGTTATTTAAACAATATAGATTAACTATAGAAAACAAAAACGTCGACGCTTTGTTCGAAACATGTTTGTGCTTTTATGTTTTAGTATAGTTAAGGGTTTATCCATTTGTTATGAATTTGTTCAATGCTGTATTGAAGTATGATAAATCAAAATTATAAGGTATAGTATTTGAATAACAGATCTGTCAGAATTCTTGTAGAAGTACCATATACTCTATAAATATGTTGACTTTAAATTATAGAAAATAGAAAATTTGTTCCTTCTTAATTTATGAAACTCCTGAGCATATTATGCCAACTTATTGTTTTTTCTAGTTCAAGTGAATATCAAGATACTTCAGTACAACACGTAGAAATTAAGTTGCTTTGAAGATTCGATATATTTTGATATCATTGGTGTTTAGCGCTTTTGTATTAATCGTTGCGATTATAGTGTTTTACAACATTGTTGGTAGTTTTTTATTTTAACAAGCAAACAGCGAAAAACGAATTGACATAAGAGAAAATCTAAATGTTCTAGGCGATATTCCTTGAATTCCAAGATTATTTGACTGAAATATCGGTAACAGTGTTTCATCTCTTTCTTGATTTTTCAAACTTCTAATTGCGCTATTATTCCTTGTGCATTATCCTACATGTGTGTTATTTACCAATGTGCTTGAGTCCTTTTATTACAGAATCCAACTGTATATAAAATAACAAAGATACTTAAAAAAAAGTTAATGTATATCCATAATAAGGCATAGTCACAAGTTCCTCTACAAACTAACTTAGACATAAAATGTATTATAGAATATGAAATAGGATAATGAATGTCATGAAAGCACATAGAATTAACTTGGCACTTGTTTCATTAAATGCATAAATAGCATGCATTAGACAACGTAGTGTTATGTATATAATGTAATTTTTGTTACATGTACTGTTTATATTCCGTTAATAATCGATATAATCCTAATATACTTAGTTAAAAATGTAATGAGGTTGAATTTCGGAATTAATATTCTATTCTATTTTGAACACGATTTCGAGGAACTAAAAGAGGAGGGAATAAAATAACAAATAATCTTAATGCACAATTTTATGCAATTTCGAACTAGATTATCGCCTTGTGTTATATAATCCCCTTTACGAAAGTTAAAACGTTTTGGGGATTTACTGAAAATGCACCAGTAGCAAACGTTTAAAATTAAGATTTTAAAAGCTTTCGTATCAAAAAGACATTATATTTAATGGATTTTACTACTTTTATTCTATAATTATCTTTGAAAGATCACTGTCTAATGGTCTACGTAGCACCTAGTGACCGCTTTTACTGGTGGAGAAAGAATAATAATAATGTTTTCCTCTTTTTTTCTAACAGCCAACATCAGAACAATTTTATGATATAATATAATACACTGAAAGCAAACGTAAAATAAATTAACATTCCCAGTGATAAACATACAATGTTTTGTTATTGTTTTAGGTAAATCAACTACAAATTTTAGAAAACAAACCAATTCATATTACCAGCAGCCGTAGCCGAGGTAAGTACGTAGTCAAAGTACATCGCCATTCTGAGGGTTCAGTGTAGACTACTTTTATGGCTAAAGGGGGCGGTAATTGTTGCAGTGCTATAAAAAGTGGTTTAATTGCTGTTGTAGACCCGTACGCAGAATGTTTGAAAGGAAGGATGAGGGGATTCTAATTTGTAAGATTAAAAGCCAACACAAATTGTGCGAAGCACAATCAGCATGCAAAGCATGCTAATGCTACTGGGGTCTGGGGGGCACGCAACTATTTCAAGACAAAAACTGCAAAACTGCTAATCCTTCATCAGAAGAATGTAGACTATGTAGAAAACATTAAATGCCACGAAAAGCTGCGCTATAACTATATAAGCATATTTTTTTACATCACAAAAATAGGAGTTCGGCCCAAGCCCCTCGGACCCTTCTTCCTGCATACGTGTGTGTATTGTCACCATAAACTAATAAGTTAACAATTCCATAACATAGCTTATGGAAATAATAAATATCCATATATATATATCTTTAAGTAATTAGCTATTCTGACTTAAACATTTACTTAAAATAGTATTAGGCTTTTTCTCCTTCTTGTCAGTCGAAAATATAAAATCGATTTATTTTGTCTTGATTTTCCAAAAGAATATTATATGTCGTACTTTGCTTTATGTATCATTGTTAGAAATAACCATTTTAAAATGTCTTTTTTATGCTGTTGTCTTTCCAAATGTAATACCTTTATTTGTAATTATAATTTCGATTAATAACAGTCGCAGTAAGACATATATTGAAGCTTTATGATTTAAATAACAATATATGTTATAAACTTCACTTTGAAGCACCTACTTTATTTGAAAAACTTCTGGTTAAAGTGCAAATTTTGCTATGTACTCGTATAACATCACTCTAATCAAAGTTAATTTCTTGTAAATTTACCATTATCTGCTATTAGTTTTTTTTTTTTGTTGTTGTTGAATATTTGGTTTTCAGATATCAATTACATAACATACTGATGTGAATCTCAAAGTTTCTTTACAGCATTTTAGAAATTTAGGCTTCAACTTATCCTACGATATAATGTCATTTACTAAGTTATGCTGAATTGTGGAGATAAATTTCTATTATGGTTTCTGTAATATACTTTCTTTTGTTATTATAATGCTAACTTTTCGTTTACGGTTATTCATTTATTTTTGGGGACTGATAAGCCAACTTTAAAGGATAATATTTACTTTTCGTTTTCAATATTGTGATCTTAGTTGTCCATTTAATGATTTAAATTCTTTTCGTTAGGAGCAACTACTTCACACTAGCGAATAGTAAATTAAGCGAGGGCTGCCGTGTATTGAAGTACCGACACATTATACCCATTTCAGATTTTATGTTTCTTCTACATGTGACATTTGTAAATAGGTGTCAAAGCTGATAGACACTGTGTCCTCAGCAGCGGACGGATTTCACTTTTACAAGCATTTCTACAACTAAGGCACAGTTCACTGCCCCACTCTATAGCTTATGTGCTGGTCTGTATGTCTTGTCCTTTGATCTGATCGCTTTTTTTTTCTTTTTAGTTTAATTTGTGATCTCAAAAATCGATATACCTAAATGTTGTTGTTTGAAGTTAAGCACAAAGCTACACAATGGGCAATCTGTGCTCTGCCCACCACGGGTATCGAAACCCGGTTTCTGTATTTCCTTTGGATGTTAAAATTGATACAACTCTTTTTATCTATAATATTTATAGTTTTACTTTATAATTTCTCTATATTTCAAGACATGAAAATGCATGTCAAACTGTCGAGAATAAGTAAATATTTTGAATTCAAATGAGCGATAAGTCGTGCAAAAATACTTTTATATAAAGATGTGCTAACAATAAACTATTTGGAATAATGCATGAAATAGCAAAAAAGAAAATAAATAATAAATAAATAAAAGGTACTGTATCTAAATTCTGAGCGATTTTTATTTTTTGAAAGCGGCTGATTTTTATGGAATTCACGGTTTACTAAAACATCGGGGTTAGGAATTTCTCGTTCCGTGGTTTTTCTATACTGAACAAGAAATGTAGTTACTGTAATATTTATTACAGGGTTTTATAAATGATACAACGTTTACACTTTAAAACTTGCTACTATGACGTTTGTTTTTTCTTTGAAATATTTTTAGACCATGGTGATTGTAGTTTAAGACACATGCAACACCTATATATTTTTACAGGAGCAGCTTACTATTGATATTAAAAAATATTATTAATTCCCCAATATATATCACAATACCTATAATTTACTCGTTTCATTCTCTCTCTCTATTAGTACAAATGTTTTCCTTTATTCTTAAAATTTAAAACGATTTAATACGTCATTGTACCACGTGAATTGTATTTCAAATAAAACAGCAACATTTATAACTAATTAGAATCTTTGAAAAAATACATTTTAAATGAAATGAAAGAGTTGCATGTTTCTGTTTAATATGTATGCAAAAAAAGATTCAGTATTTCTAATAAATTTATTTCCATAGTTAATTAGTGCCCAAACCTTATCTAAAATGATATTAATTACCACCTTTCCAACGCCTTCTGTATTTATAATGTGTTTTGAAACTTTAAAATATACAATCCTAATGTTGTTTTGTATGTAAAAGATCAGCTTCATGCTTCATAGAAGTAGTGAATAGCTAGATAACCAGGAGTAGCAGATGTTGCATATGTAAAGAGATAGGTACCGGTGGTATTGGTGACTCCCAAACCTGGTACTGTAATTAAACAGGGTATTTACAGCTTCTAGGTATTGCCAATCTGAGACTTTAAGGTGAAAGAAGCGAAATATTTCTCCATAAAAATGACACCACACATTGTACCTACAACTTCTTACCTTTCTGTCTGTTTGAAGAAAGGTGTCCGGTGGGTTATTCATTGTCCCAAATCTTCCTCTCTCTAGCTATCGTCTTTAAAGTGACCACACGCGTACCGTGTGGTGGTTGATACCCTTAGGCATAACAACCCTTTGGTGAATATCGTACAAAAGCAATATTGGTCTCCTTAAAAGCTATATTTCAAGCAATAAAGTAATTAATCGCTCTAAATATAGCATGTGTCCATTCTGGTCAATCGATGGAAGGGAGAAAGAGATCCAATGACAAAAGTCAATATTACATTAACATTATCTTGTTTTCCCCCTTTCGTTTTTATCTCCATGAACATACACATAGCGTCGCTTATTATATCAGATCATTTCTGTCGAAATACAGATATCCCTAATTTATGATAACCAAGTGCAGGATATTGTATATTATAGGGTTTTAAATGACTAAATATTTGAACATTTATTCGAACTAAATTCCAAGCAAATTTCAGATCGATGAAATATTCTTCTTTATCTGTCAAGCGCCCACAGTGGTAACTCTGTAATTTAATTATCTGTCAATAGCAAATGCATACTATCGAGTTTGATTACAATTAAAATCTGTCATAAATTTAATGTATATTTAATGAAATAAACTGCCATTTTCACAAATCGTGTAGCTATAGTAAAACTGATATTCTTGTTTTCCTTCCACAGCAATTGTACACTTTCGAGCCAAATCATAGTTAACATATTTCATTTTAGTAGAAAGAAATAAGTAACTATATAGAAATGCGAAACCTAGCGATTTTTTGAACATAAATTGTAATTGTAAAGCGAAACGCTTTACATAAAATGTGTCTTTTTCTCTAATGTGTGTCTTAATTAAATATGATGTTTTAGTTAATGCAGCGATGCAACAATTCAGTAAAATATACACAACAGTACTTCAATTTTCTTAACAGTAAATGGTTTCCATCAAAGTTAACTTCTGTTAAAAACTGAATAATTTATTACCTTTTATTATTAACTTTTAAAGTTATACAGAAAAAGAAAATAGTACTGTAAAGTACAAAGCTATATGACAAACATGGCAAACGTATACCAACCATCAAATATTTCTCTCTCAATTTATCCGTCAATTATGAAAATATATTAAATACGTGTGCATACATACACGTATATAAAGTCCACTGTAATATACCCTATATACATTATATTAGATAATTTATAGTTTTGAAACATTTTGTGACTACTAATTAAATTGGGTGGAATCCACGTAAAATTTTACAATCGCTAGTACATAGAATGGAAGCAATATAAAAATGTATATTATATCGATATTTCAAGCTTGAAATATGAACCATTCACCCAGATTTTTAAGGTTATTAGTCCGTGAACTTAGCGCTGACCCATTAGGGTGTTTATGTTTAAGTAACAAAATATTACATTTCATACGAAGCTGGCGACTTTGGCACCTTGACTGATTTGTGACAATGAATCACACTCATATTTTATTAGATGTAATCTATTCAGTTTGTGTTTTTCTTTTAATTTTGTGTTTCATATTATAATGATTTTTGTAGCATATCAGTCGTAGCAAATGATATACATATTCTCCAGTAAAGATTATATGTTAATTTTTTATAAGACTTATAACAATTGACTTTTCATATATGTAGATAAAAAACAAAACATCACTGCATACTTTAAAACATTAAATCATACAAGCGTGTAAAGGGTGAGGAAAACAGTATTGATCCAATTCACAATGAAGCAAATGTTTTTGTTTTCCTGTTCCTTTCTTAACACAACACATATATTTAATGCAAATTAATCAAATATGAAATAAGATTGTATTTTTTTTTTTGAATGAAGAAAGTGACGGACTCTAAAGAGAAATGTCATAAAATGTATGCTTATACATATTTAAGTCAGCGTATTATGTTTATTTTTCGACATATACAGCTTGAGTTTACAAAATGGAACGGCTATTTGTGTAATGGAACTCTTTAGTCTGAGAATAACACGAATTTAGCACTAACTCAGTTTAGTCATGTTAGAAGGTACTCGTAGCCCTTTGCTATTCGACAAAAGATAGTACTAACGGATAAGTTGTTAAAACAAATAACAAATCTGTTATCAACCCGCGGCAACCATAGATTAGAGCCGTATAATTTTGAAAAGGAGGCGTCCTGAAATGGGGATTAGGGCGGTACACTTTGGACAGGTCTTTGGTTATTTGCCTGGAGCTTTAGACCGCCTGCCTAACCAGAAAGATTTTTGATGTACCGCCTTTTAAGGCCAAATTTGTGAAAGTTAACCATATCAATGGCTACAAATGGATCATTTACCTAAATGAAAATACATAAGTACATGTGCTCACCATTGGAGAGAAACAATTAAACACTGTATCGAAGCAGAACCAGTTATGAAAAAAAGAAACAAGAAACATTATTCGATGGTGAATCGGAAGGAGCCGTTTGGTTTTGGCCGTTTCGTTTCCATCAATACATATATAATCATCTGAATGAACATTTTACACAAAATAATTAACTTTTCCTGTTCTCAAAAGTATTTTACTTACATTTTAATTCATTGACCATAAAAGTACAATTAAAGAAAATACTGAGATTAGAGACAACTTTCAGAGAAGTGGTGTACTGAAAATTTAACACTTCATTAGTGATTAATTACCGTTAGTGTAATGAAAATTTAACTCTTCATTAGTGATTAATTGCCGTTAGTGTAATGAAAATTTAACTCTTTTTAGTGATTAATTACCGTTAGTGATTGGTTTGATTTATCGTATCTTCTTTTAATTTTCTTGATTGTAACCAACTACATTCCATATTTGTTAGTCTTTTGTACTTTTCCTAAATTCATATCTGAGAATGTCTCGTATTGTAACTTTAGTTTTCGTTTAATGCATTTTTTTTGTGTCTAGTAAACGTATATGATTCTTAAATGTTTAATCGTACTTGAAAAACTCGACGAGAGAAATTTAATGTTTCGTTGATTTTTTAGAGCATATTTCTTTTGAGTGAAAGCACTGGATAATTTTTCATCTGAAGAATCTTCGTTTAGCGGAAGTTCTACAATAAACACCCATTCAAAGGAGTTTGTCAGAGAATGAAATGAAAATAATATAAAATGTTCATATCTCAGTGAAAAGCGTATCTTTTCATGTGTAAGTGTTTGTAAATGTCTTATTTTTTAATCTTTATGCAGTTAATTTTACGTATTCATAAAAAGAAAATTTGTCTAATACATCTTAGTTGTTCAGTTACTATAATCTCTCTCTCAACAACTACAAAAAACATTCATATTAAAGCTGAAAATCCGAGCAGTCTTCTCCACTACCTTTAATAATTCTACGTTTTCATTATTTTATTTAAGTTGTGTTAAAATTATTATAAGGTATCCTGAAACGTTTATGCTTCACAAAAATACTGAAATGTCGAAGCTTTATAAATTGTACTGTGTGTGCTGCTTTCAATCTTATGCACCAGAAACTTGTTATAGAAGTTCTATCCAAAATTAGCACAAGTGTCACTGGAAACTTATGTAGTTCATCATCCTGATTCAACGAAAGTCCATTAATCAGTGTGGAATGAAGTATCTGTCTATATATATAGTTAATGTTTTGATCTCTGCACTTAGTATCGCCAAAACAAAAACGTAAAGATGAATATGTGTGTATTTACTATAGATACCCGAAAAGTTGCAAATGGCAAGTTATATTCTGTAATAATTTCGTTTACCAATTAAAGATAGCTCATTTACTTTTATGAATTATAGACGCCTTTGTCTGTTTTAGTTCATTGTATACATTTACACTGATCTGTTGTAGAAACACTCAATATACCATATAAACACAATTCAGTTGTCATCAGAAAGAAGTATAAACACTTACCGCATTTTATCTGTCTACCTAGTCATAACATTTTGATTATACTATCAAATGTCTCCTCCCAAGTCCAACAGAGAAACATTTATATCCAGCGGTAATAATACGAATTATTGATGTTCTATTTGATACAGATTATGCACACAGAGATATAATATTTACTTGAAAATAACACGAGATTTTAATTTATTTTTTATTATCTTGGCTCATTGGTATTATAATCGCGTGTGAACGAAAAATTGCAATACAAAGTGTTGCTGTTAAGCTCAGAGTCTGATGAATCTTCATTTGTTTGTTTTTCTGTGCTCTGCTCACCGCGGGTATAGAAACGAAATTTTTTAGCACTATATTAAGCCCACCAATTTACGCTGACCCACAGATGTGCATGATGAATGCTTGTGCAAACTGGAAAAAACAGCAACTTGAAATGGGAGAAATACTCTGTGTACGAAATAGAAAGACAAGGGAGTATAAATTATGAAATTTCTACTAAAATATTGCAAGAGTCACAAATATGTAGACATCCTCTTTGGGTCAATATCTCTTTTTTTTTAATGTCAGAAGACTCGTAATTAATCCAAAACAACACTTAAAATAGGTAATATTGTGCTTTACCCACCATACCTAAAGAGCCTGAACTACCATCCTTTGTTTATTGTTAACAAACAAATGGAAAATACTTAAATATTGGGAACATTTAAAACTTATACGCATCAGTGAAAGCTTTCATACACTATATAGGTGATCTTTAAAACAAAATATAGTAATTATGTTGAAAATAATCTCTCAGTGAGAACAAAACATAAATAAATACAGATTTAGCTTAAATTAAGCGCAATATTAAATATTTAAGGAAATTTAATATCTGATAAATCTTTAAATTCTAAGGGTTTTACTTTTATCACTTTTGAAAAAATCAAGATTGCGAAAATACCTAACACTGAATACAAGTAATTATCAAAGAAGACTTCAATAATATTTCTCTTGAAATTAACAAAATAATAAAGAAAGATAAAGACATAATGCAGAACAAAAATACGTTTCATATTTAATTTGAATTTTTTTAAAGTCATCAATATTCATAGAGGTTTTAAAAACTTACAGGTGTATTGAATAATAATAAAACGCCCGAACTTAACAATAAAAAAATATTCACTTTACAGAAAACAAAAAACATTAGCAATACAATTATATTTTTGTTTATTTTTACTGCTTTGTTTAAAAACTTTCTAGGTATTGGAGACTTGCTAACCTGGTGTTGTGTCTATTATCGTGTTGTTGTTCTTTTTTTACATATTTCAATAGTACTTATCTTTGCATGTAGGCGACAGACCTCGTTACGAAGGATAAAGTTCAGGTTAAAGTACGTGGTAATCTATGTGTAGTTCTTATGTATACACATACCTATATATATGTGTGTGTATGTTTGTGTGTGTATTTACTCTTCCATTCCGAAACAGAGTTTGAGACTATTCAGTTTTTGTTTCTAGTATTTTCTTCACCTTTCAGTAGAATAAATTGTAATATAAAAACATATATCACTTTGTGTCACAAAACTCATTCCAGTACCAGTAAAGGACTAAAGTTTCGATAAATGTCAGCCCTATTCAACTCACATAAGTCCGTGCATAACATTGCTACTTAATATGAGCTTATGTTTTCGTATTACATTGATAATCGTTTGATTACTTTGTTTTCCTAAGGGAAATTATCGTTAATTAGTGAGGATACTAATCTCTGCAGTTCGAAATATATCTTAATGGTTTTAATGTGGCAGCCAAAGTTATTTTATTTTCATTTTTTATGTGAAAATACTTTTCTATTTTGACAATATAAAAATATCAAAAAAACATCATGGAGGACTAAAAAAAAACTATTGAACTATTTAGAAAAAATAAGATAAAATGAATTAGTTTTTTGTTTCTATAAGCTAAAATCAGTTAGCAAGTGTCTTATTTGCCCCGATAAAGCCGTAATGGCGAAACGCTGGCTTAAATAAAACTAGTTATGTTTTCTGGAGTAATAGGTTGTGTTTTATTTACAACTCTACAGTTTGTACTACAAACCTTAAAATCTCATAATAAAATGAAGTAGCATACCAGATTACTCAGATTCTCACTTTTATTTACAAAAAAATCAGAAATAAAGATTTTACACATAATACAACCTCAGAAATTAATTTACTTGAACTTTTACAATGAAATTTTGACAACTTTCTTAGTAAAACAGTAATTGTGAATTGTTATTATAAAAGGGTAAGCATAAAACTTTTTCACTTTACCAAAAACAGATTTCAAAATACAATTATAAAAATGTGAATAACATTAAATAAAACAATTATTTGGATAACTTACATGGGATTTATGTTGATTCATATGCAGCTTTTTGTTTTTGTCATAGACGTTTGAAATTCAAACAAAACCATAAAATATAATATATGAATTAAAATAAAAACAGAACATTCTGTTGGCTTAACGCAACAAATAAACCCAAAAATTTGACAGAATTTAAAAACAAGAAAGAGCAACATTTACAGAAGCCTTGTGCAAAATACTGAAGATATATCGTTTATCATTGTATTGTAAAATACAAAGTACACTTCCATATAAAAATATGTTTTACAACATAAAAAAGTTGAAAAAATTTATTTGAAATTCTCAGAGAAGTAAAATATTATATTCTAGAATTTACTAGAACAAAAATATGTAGTTATTTTCGATAACAAAAGTATAAACAGGACATAAAATCGGAAGTATAATACTCTAAACCTAAATCTATATAAAATATACAACAACCAGATTAAGAACGTTCACTGACATTTTGTTTGTTGTTAAGCAAAAAACTATACAATGAACTATTTTCGCTTTTCCAACTGCAGGTATCGAAACTCGCCTTTTTTGTTATAAGCCCTTAAATTTGCAGCTGAGCCACATATATAAATTCAATCACATATGGAAGAACGATTACAACAATAATAATTAACAATGAATAAACATTATATTTGTGGAGAAAGAATCTCCTAAGCTGCAAAGCCTCGTGAGATATTATTGAGATTACGGCCGAAAATGTCATTAAATGCGAGAGTACCTAAATGATGAAACAATGTATTATAATATTTATAACTAGAAACGTATATGTAATATATGTATATGTGATTAGCTATACTGATGCCCAGGTTGATTTTGAGTTTCGCTTTAGGTGCATAGAGCATGAGAATATTAATGAAAAAAATTCTTTACATTTTCTTTTGCACGTTCACGCTTTTAGTGTATTTAAAGGCTGGGTTTTCAGGCAACAAGACAGTGATGGAAAAGGTCATAGTTGCAATGTCAGGAAAGAGTCTCGTAAATGTTGACGGTAATTACATAGCAACGACGCTCTCTGAATTGTTCACTGACGTAAGAATAATTTAACGAATTCAGCCTTTTAAAATTCTCTCTATTTCTTTCTCGCTGCTTATATAACCCATGACTACAAAAGTCGACATAGATACTACAGAGGGATTAGAAAATATAAGGTGAATAATATATCTCCAAAGTTGCTAATTTTAAAACACTGAGAAATGGGTTTATGTAAAATACTTATGAAATATTATGATTTTTTATCTACAGATTACAATGGTTTATTCTAGGTGGGAGTAAACTTACAAAAACATCCAAGGTATTTTTAATTGGTAAATTAATTAAATTTGCATGTACAGAATAAAACATTATCTTGTTTAAAACTTAACTGATACTTATTTAAATATATATTCAATACGAACTAATAAATCATTATTTTAATTATTAAATGCCCAAGAAAGTATTGTTTGAAACAATCTAGAAATACTTCATCTGGGGGGTTTTGGTATAAATGAGCAACGACTTGTGGGAGATAAAATATAGACATCAAATGCTATTCTTACATGCTTCTGATTTGAAATAGAAAAAGTAAGAAAAATGCGAAAAAAGAAAACATCTGTAAGAAAATACTGGAGTTAATGGATTCTAATTATTTGCCAGGTTTCGGTCTTCAAAATACTTTGAAGTTATTGTACTGCATATATATAAACAACATTTCACATGAACTTCTTTCTCTAATCGTTAACCTCAGCTGACAAAAAATAGTTATAAAATGTTATTTGTACTAGTGGCTTCAAACGTGGAGGACAAGAGTGGTTTGGGCCCTTCTAATAAAATAAATAAAATCTTGCATTTATCGATTTTTAACCAAGTTTTAAACACTTTATTCTTTCATGTTGAGTCTCCT